CCTTTATTGGTGTACTCTAGGAAGAAAAGTGGGAATAAGGGTAGTTTTATGACTAGTAATCTTTTATGTCTTAAATGGTAGTTATATGCAGTTATTATTATGTCTTTTATTATTATCCAGACTTGTAGGAAGTTATCTGTCAATTATTGTCAGTTATGAGGCTTGCTATAAGAGCCTAGTATGTAAGAATTTCTCGGATGATATGAAGTAATATTCAGTAAATTATCTTTCTCCCTTCTAGAATTCCAAATTCTGGTTCTAAACCTCTCTTTCTTTCCTTCTTTTCTTCTTTCTCTTCCCCTTTTCCCTATTTCTATTCCTATTTTCCAGATTCTAACAAAATCTCACTCTTTTATGTTCAAAATTTACCCTTTACGAGTTAGACTAAGTAAGGACAAATGGAAGGAAGTCATTTTGGGATAAAATTGACTTATATCCGTCTTTGAACTATGTTTCTAATTATTGTGGATCATTGTAAATTATGTTGAATATTTGTATTAATGACTAGAGACAATATGTATGTGAATATTTGATCAAAGGTTCTCTTCTAGCATTGAATTATGAGTAGATTAATAGTGTGAATTGAAAGGGAAAGGAGAAATCAAGAATGGTGACCTAAGGGATGAAAGTTGACTTTTTAAGAGTCAAGTTTGACTAACATGATTTTGAGCAATTGGATGAATCTGGATCTGAAATTTCGTATGCTTATAGATCTCATTTTTAGCTTTAAAACAAGTGATAATTTACTAAATTTAGAGTTTTGTACAAAAAGTTATGCCATTCCAAAATTAGGCATAAATCCTGAAAAATTGAAAATTTACCAAATAATAGTACCACTTTGAATGAAATCTGGGATTGATGCGTGAGTTCTCGATACCAATGAGTTTTTTTTCCTTTCAAGAGCATGTCAAGAGCTTTCTATAGAACTTGAAACTATCTCATTTTGATTTTTTTTATAATTAGTTATGAATTTTTAAAGTTTGACCTTTGTAAGGGTGATGATGAATAGTAACCCAAATTCCAAGAAATTTAAAGTTTGAATTCTTCTAACCTAAGGCCATGAAATGATTCCAAATGGTTCTAATTGACATAAAATGAGGTATAAAAGTAAGGTGTGACATGACACACTGTGAAAAACTTTATAACTGACAGTTAGTACTTTCACGGCGGTTATTAATAATCATCATGAAAAGCACCTATGACAGCGTTTTATTAAACGCCGTTGTAAGTTCAAATATCAACTAGTACTTTTTAGGGTGCTTATTTAGTTAACTGTCGTGAGAAGTCAAAACTAACCATGACTTAATTTAAAAAATACCACCACTTTTTTTTATGGTATTTTTTTTAACTATCGTAAAATGGCTTCGTTAAATTTTTTTTTTTCGTAGTAGTGTCAATTTTTTTCTTTGATTTAGTGTTTGATATTCAATACTACTACCTCCTGTCTTTAATATAAGAATTAAATAACTAATTTGTAAATATTAAATATATTAGTTAAATTATTTATTTATAATAAATTAGCATTGTCTTCTTCAAAATATCTTTGTTAATCATGTGCATTAAAACTACTTTTGATAAAAAATTTCTTAACATATGCAATCGCCATAAAGATTATTTGGAGACAAATGGTTAAATATGAAAGATAAAGTGAATTAATATTTTTCTATTTATAACCAAATTAAATATATAAATAACTTTTATATTAAGAATTAAGTGTAGTAATATTTATGTTATATTTGAGTACTATTTAGTCTTAAATTGATAAAAAGACACGTAATCACTATACTTTATCTATGCACTTTATTTATTTATTTTATAAAAGAAAAATGACAGATAAAGAAGGTGGAATATATGATATTTTAATTTGGGAAACTAAGAAAATATAATGACAGAGAGAGAAGTCCTTACCAAATTAAAATTTTGAAATTTAGTGAAATGACAAAAATACTTTGTATTTTAAAAAAAAAAAACTCTGTCCTCACCAATGGCCAACCACCAGCCGCCAGTGTAGTGGCTGTCAGTGGAGTTTTTTTATCATAGTTTTCTTTTTTGTGGCATGAGAGAATATTGCAAGAAAGTAGTGGGGGTGGGACTTGATCCCACTACCACTTGGTCATTTGGACTAATAAAAAAAAAAAAAGATAACCATTGGGCCATCAAAAATTTCTTAACCTTATAATGAAAACAAAAATATAAGTTAACTCTTTTACTGTGACTCTAGCCTGTGACAATAATTTGCTTGGGGATGATAAATTTTAATTGAGAAATAACAAATCTAAATTTGATATTAATAAAGTAACTTTTCTTGATACATAATAAAAAGTAGCATGTACATTAATTAAAAATAATCATACTTTATTTGAAAATGACACGTCTTTACTAGAAAATAATAAGTCTAAACTTGATATTAACAATGTGTTTTTTCCTGATACATAACAAGAAGTAGCATGTACATTAATTAAAAATGACTATAATTTATTTGAAAATGACACGTCTTTACTAGAAAATGACAAGTCTAAACTTGAGATTACAATGTGTCTTTTCTTGATACATAACAAGAAGTAGCATGTACGTTAATTAAAAATGACAATAATTTATTTGAAAATGACATGTCTTTATTGGAACATAACAAGTCTAAACTTGATATTAACAAAACAACTTTTTCTGATACATAACAAGAAATAGCATATACATTCCCAAATAAATTATTGTCATTTTTCACTAAGATGTGTCATTTTTCAGTAAAGACGTGTCATTTTCAAATAAATTATGGTCATTTTTAATTAATGGACATACTACTTCTTGTTATATATCAGGAAAAGACACACTGTTAATCTCAAGTCTAGACTTGTCATTTTCCTATAAAGACGTGTCATTTTCAAATAAATTATGGTCATTTTTAATTAATGTATATACTACTACTTGTTATGTATCAGGAAAAGTTACTTTATTAATCTCAAATTTAGACTTGTTATTTCTCAATTAAGACTTGTCATCCCTAGGTAAATTGTTGTCACAGGCTGGAGTCATAGTAAAAGAGTCAACTTATATTTGTATTTAGATTATAAGGTTAAGGAGTCTTTGATGGTCCAAAGGTGAGAGCTGAGTTTTTTTTAAACAAAAAAAAAAGATAAAAGGCATTTTTGTTATTTCACTGAATTTCAAAATTCTAATTTGGGAAGGACTTCCCTCGCTGTCATTACATTTTCTTAATTTTCCAAATTGGAATATCACATACTCTATTTTTTTATCTGTCATTTTTCCTTGATAAAATTATGCTTATTGTATAAAAGTTTATTAAATACCGCTGTTTCAATTTTTTAACACCATAGAGTAAAGTAGTTTGGATGAAGTAAAGATAAAGGAAAGATCAAAAAGAGACAGCGAATCTAACATTGTCAAAGCACTAGAACGGTGTCGTCTGCCTGTTTCCTGTCTTGTTCTTTCTGTGTGTGGATGTAATGCACTAGCTAAATTCTCTAAACCTTGGAATCTGGGAGCCTGACATTACCTGATAATTGGTTCAAAGAACCTCTCGCCTCACAACGCCACGTGTATTTCCTTTTGATCATACCTACGTGTATGGTGATTCCTTTATTGTAGTAGTTCCTCTAATTGTACAGAACTCAATTAATTAATTTAGAAAAATTAAAAAAATAAAAAGGGAAAATGACAATAAAATACCACTTGAATTTCAAAAAGACAAATAAGGCACCTGAATAAGCAAAATGACAAATAGGGCACTGGGTACCAATCTGGAATTCATATTTTCAGCCAAAAGACCGAAATGCCCTTATTAGTGAGGTAAAATGAAGTAAAACTGAAATGAAAATAAAGATGGAGCACCGGTTGAGCACATGAAGAAGGAAAAAGGAACGCTGGAGGAACACATTAGAGGTGAAAAGAGGTAAGTTTAAGTCAGTAGTCTTTGGAAATGGTATAATCTTACTCCTCCGCATCATCATTTTGTTGGGATTGCTGATTTAATAGATTTTGGTTGTGGGCAAGAGGGTTTGTAGCAAGAGAGAGAGTAAACATGTCGCATTAAGTGATGGTGGGGTTTGGGTAGTTCCTTTTTGTGTCTGCTTTATGGCGCAATAGTGGGGACGGGTGTGCTGGAGATGAGGTTTTATACTTTATATTGACTATTTCGAATGACGTAGCGGAAATCAAAAAAGGTGGCAAGCAATTACGTAGGCGTGAAGTTTGCGTTCAAGTGGTGAACGTTGTTAAAATCAATAATGGAGTTGTGAAACCCTATAATAAAGTTGCGAATAGAAGAAAAGTTTCTCTCTTTGTGTGTGTTTTGGGTGTCACATACGTTGATGGAAACTAATTGGCGGAGAAGTTAATTTTTTTTATTTAATGTTGTTTGCTGCAGGTTAACAAGTGGTGATGTCTTGTAACATTGTATCAACATCTTCAAAAAGACTTGCTTGTTATTTTCACGTAGATGGGAAGTTTGTGGAAAATGATGATGGTGAAGTTAAATACTGTGGTGGGACTGTCAGAGTAAGAGTAACAAATGAGGGTACAAAACTTGAAGATTTGAGGGCAATGATAGGAGAATGGTTCAGCATGGATTGTCATGGCTGTGATATTAAATACACTTTGAGTTTTGATGAGAGGGTATTGGTAGATCTTATAGATGATGGTGAAGTTGATAATCTATTTAAATATAATGACCATAATGCACATATTTATATAGCACATAAAGGTAATGACAATGTGGAGGAAGGAATGGGTTATCCAGAAACGTAAGTGAGAAATTTTTTTTTGGTGGTTATGAAAGTTGATAATTGTTGTAATATTGTAGTAAATCTCTTAACAACAGTGGTAATTATAAATGCAGGATCTCAAGAATGGTAGGACTGTCAGAACAGAGTGATGAGCCTACGTTGGAGGGAAATGCTTTGGAAAGTACAAGTTCTGGAGGCAGTGAAAGACCTAATGTAAGCCTACCATACGGAGTAGTGAGTGCACCTACACCTTTGCCGGAGATGAATTCTTTGAAATGGAAGGAATTGTTGTTAGGACGGAACCAGACTTTTGCAAATGCAGAAGATTTCAAGAAGAAAGTACATAAGTTCAGTATTACAAACAAGTTTGAGTACAAGTATGTGAAAAATTGTAGGGAAAAAATGTATGTGAAATGTAGTATTGAAGGTTGTCCGTGGAGGATAAGTGCAAGAGTGGGTAGAAAGAGTACTCCCTTTTTACGTGTGGCAACATTCATAAATGAGCATGTTCATAATGCACAAGACAATCTTCGTGTGGAACATTGTGGTTCAGCTAGCTTGACAGCATCAATCATCACAGATGAGGTAAATGATCACATAGACAGGCGTCCAAATGATATAAGGAAGACTTTGGAAAGAGATTATGGTGTGAAGTTGACATATAAACAAGCATACAAGGCGAAGCAAAAAGCTTTAGAGGACATACATGGCAGGCCTGACCAGTCTTATATGCTTATTCTGTGGATATGTGAACGGTTGAAGGAAACAGATAACAAAACCGTGGCCAAATGGGTGGGTAATACTAATAACACATTTGAGCGTGCATTCATAGCATATGGGTGTTGCATAGAAGGCTTTATAGCTGGTGCTAGACATGTACTGTACATTGATGGATGTCATTTAAGTGGACCGTATAAGGGGACGTTACTGTCGGTGTCTGCTTATGATGCTGACAACGAATTGTTACCTTTTGCGATTGCTATTGTAAAGGGAGAGACACTTGAGGATTGGACATGGTTCTTATATATGATTAAGGAGATAGTTGGCTCGATGGAATTGACAATTGTGTCAGATCGACACAATGCAATAATAGGTGCCGTGCAAGCAATATTTGGTGGTGAGAGGCATGCATACTGTTACAGACATGTTAAGGAAAACTTCAGTGCACAAATGATTAAATTAAATAGAGGAAAGAGGAAGACTAGTGGGAAAGCAAGGGAGGAGGGACTGCAATACCTGGATGCCATTGCATATGCAAGGCTTGACACCGAGTTTGATGGTGCAATGGATAACATGAGAAAGTTCAATCCACAATTATTTGAGTGGCTTCTTAATCATGGTGATGTTGAAAGGTGGGCCTTAAGTAAATTCCCATTTAAACGGTGGGATAACATCACAACAAACCTTGCTGAGTCATTCAATGCTTGGATGTTGAAAGAGAGACGATATAATGTTGCCCAACTTATACATGAGCATCGTGAGAAAGTGGCAAAGAAGATGTATGCAGCAAGCATAGCAATGAGTCATTGGAAAAATGGTGTAGGCCCAAACATAGATGCAAAATTGGTGGACAATGTTGCTAGATCAGCATGCATGTTGAGTGTACCTTATGAAGGAGGTAGGGTGTGTGTCCATACAGCAAAAAGAGCTGTACATGTTGATCTTGGTCTAGGTGAATGCACCTGTGCAGCTTAGCAAATGTCAGGCATTCCATGTCCCCATGCCTGTGCAGCTATTAAGGCTGTGAATTGCAATGTGTATGATTTTGTTGATGAATGCTACAAGATTACATCACAGCAAAAGATTTATGTCAGGACTATGATTCCAGTGGCGACAGTAGACATGCCAAATCCTAACAATTACTGGGTGGAAAATATAGGAAGTCAAGTGTTCTTGGCACCGCCTTTGACTAATCGACCGCCAGGAAGGCCTAAAATAAAAAGACGAGAGTCACAGTTCCAGAATAGGAAGATCTACCATTGTAGCACATGCCAACAAGTTGGGCACACAAGAAGAACATGCAAGAATCCAAACCCAAGTTGAAGTTAGATGTCAATAGATATGGTGATTTTTTGGTGTAAATACTGTTGCGTGAATGGTAAATTCCATTGCACGTGTAGTGTAGTTAGTATGAAAGTTATGGTTCAATGTTTACCGTGCTGTACTTGAGGTGCAGTCATTTGAATATATGTAATGCATCTGCTGTCATATTGCTGCTGGTTTTTGGTAAATACTGTTGCGTGAATGGTAAATCCCATTGCACGTGTAGTTAGTATGAAAGTTAATGGTTCAATCATGTCATAAATACTGTATCTGCTGTCATATTACTGCTGGTTTTTGATAAATAGTGTTGCGTGAATGGTAAATTCCATTGCACGTGTAGTGTAGTTAGTATGAAAATTATGGTTCAATGTTTACCGTGTTGTACTTGAGGTGCAGTCATTTGAATATATGTAATGCATCTGCTGTCATATTGCTACTGGTTTTTGGTAAATACTGTTACGTGAATGGTAAATCCCATTGCACGTGTAGTTAGTATGAAAGTTAACGGTTCATGTTTACCGTGATGTACTTGAGGTGCAGTCATTTGAATATATGTAATGTATCTGCTGTCATATTGCTGCATCGAATTGTATTGTTCATGGCAGAAAATCTGCCCAGCCCGGCAAAAGGGTACAAAACCCAGTATAAAAGTAGTAAATACCACTGCCAAAGTTGTAAATCCCACTATGTGTTTTGCAAAATTCACTGTCGAGTTATATGGTTTTGAAACCAAAGTTGTGCAGCCCAATAAACGCAGGGATGCAAAACCCACTGTAAAAGTAGTAAATCTCACTGTGAGAGTTGTAAATCCCGCCATATGTTTTGCAAAATTCACCTCCGAGTTGTATGGTTTTGAAACCAAAGTTACGCAGCCCAATAAACGCAGGGATGCAAAACCCACTGTAAAAGTAGTAAATCTCATTGTGAGAGTTGTAAATCCCGCCATGTATTTTGCAAAATTCACCTCCGAGTTGTATGGTTTTGAAACCAAAGTTGCGCAGCCCAATAAACGCAGGGATGCAAAACCCACTGTAAAAGTATTAAATCTCACTGTGAGAGTTGTAAATCCCGCCATGTGTTTTGCAAAATTCACCTCCGAGTTGTATGGTTTTGAAACCAAAGTTGCCCAGCCCAATAAACGCAGAGATGCAAAACCCACTATAGAAGTAGTAAATCTCACTGTGAGAGTTGTAAATCCCTCCATGTGTTTTGCAAAATTCACCTCCGAGTTGTATGGTTTTGAAACCAAAGTTGCCCAGCCCAATAAACGCAGGGATGCAAAACCCACTGTAGAAGTAGTAAATCTCACTGTGACAGTTGTAAATCCCTCCATGTGTTTTGCAAAATTCACCTCCGAGTTGTATGGTTTTGAAACCAAAGTTGCCCAGCCCAATAAACGTAGGGATGCAAAACCCACTGTAAAAGTAGTAAATCTCACTTTAAGAGTTGTAAATCCCTCCATGTGTTTTGCAAAATTCACCTCCGAGTTGTATGGTTTTGAAACCAAAGTTGCCCAGCCCAATAAACGCAGGGATGCAAAACCCACTGTAAAAGTAGTAAATCTCACTGTGAGAGTTGTAAATCCCGCCATGTGTTTTGCAAAATTCACCTCCGAGTTGTATGGTTTTGAAACCAAAGTTGCCCAGCCCAATAAACGCAGGGATGCAAAACCCACTGTACAAGTAGTAAATCTCACTGTGAGAGTTGTAAATCCCACTATGTGTTTAGTCAAACTCAGCATGGAATTGTATGGTTTTTGAAAGGAAGGTTGCCCAGAGAGAAACAGAAGGTTGCAATACCCATTACACAAGTTGTAAAAATCACTGTGAAAGTTGTAAATCCCTCCATGTGTTTTGCAAAATTCACTGTCGAGTTTTACCGTTCTAGGACGAAGTAGCACGGCCCAATAAACATACGGTTGGAAAACCCACTGAACAAGTAGTAACACTCACTGTAAAAGTTGTTATTCCCACTATGTGTTTTGTCAAACTCAGTGTGGTATTTGTGTTTTTGTTGAGGAAAGTTGCCCTGCCTCTCAAAACAGGTTGTCAAACCCCTTGAAGAAGTGGTAAAATTCACTTCTACAGTTGTAAATCTCGTCACATGTGTTGTAACAATTTGGAAAATGGTTTAACATTACTTGAAAATGAGGCACCTTTACAATCCCTGAAAATAGTTTGCAAATTCCCTTACATACATAACTTTAACTAACACATCATTAAACTTAGACAGCGTAATTTAGTGCCGTGATGCACGCTGCTTTTTCTTCGGTGTGGGTTCTGCGGATGACAGCAAGTTCAATGCTTCTTCACGTCTTGAATTGAGCTCATGATTAACAAGCCACCACATTAGGTTTCGTCAGAAATCAGCAACATGTTCTTCACTGTACTCAAGCGTCACATCGGGCTCCCATTTGCTCAACCATATTAAAACATGAACGCCACAGTCTCGCCTGCACATGGCAACAATGTCCATGAGTGAAACACGAAGTAGCATTCATACATTATTACATCAACAACTAATACCACTCACAGATTGTTCTGTTGAGGAACAGGGGCCCAAATAATGTCACTCATCTGCTTCTTTCGAATGGTATTGGGCTTTACTATCTCAATCATGTCATAAAATCGATCCCTCTGCACAACACATACTTGCATTTGTAAATAATTTGGTAAACAAAGAGCATGTTACACAAGAACAGTAACAATATTCTTACACATCCGGTCACCACAGTCATGATATCATCATCAGCTGCACCTTTCTTCTTACTCTTCTTAGCAGGAAAACTTGGCTTCATTGAGTCCAGCACATAGAAATTCATTGTCTTAGGCTCAAGCATAAGACAAAACCAGTGAGCACCAACAAGTGTAGGTCCAAATATCAAGTCACAGTCTCCTATGTTGTAACCGACATATTCAGGCAGCAACTGCTTTTCTCGTTTTCTAGCATCCCACCGAGATGGGTTCGCAGCTAGTATTGCCTGCAGCATCGAATGATTAGTCATATAGCAGTAATTATTTTGTATTCATCTTAGTAACCTTACCATAAAGTCAGCATCAAATATGTGTCGCTTGACTTCTCCTTCGCTCTTCATATCAGCCAGTAAAGTCTTGCACACAACTGACATAAGCTGTTTGCAAGTAAATTTTAGTTTTTCACACAGGTATACATGAGCATCAAATATAAATTTATAGTACTCAGCCTAAGATCACAATACTAACTTACCCGGTTACCTATTCTCTCAATTCCTCCAAGTGTCCTTAGCTGATCTCAAGTGATATCCTCATCAGATATTTTAACTAAAGGCCTAAAAATGTGTTCCCAGTATCATTATGTGTGTAGTTAATCAATAAACAACCGATAAGTAATATCATTCACAGTCATGTGAATAGTAACTTACATGTCACCCTCCTGCCTTGAACACATGCGGGATATCATGTTAAAAAACTTGTCCTTTTCCTCCATATTCCTCTTCTTCCTCTTAACAGGCATCATCAAAATCCATGGAGAATTTATGACCGACTTCACCTCCCTCTGTGATCTCCTGGGCTGTGCATTCTTGTCCATGGGGGAAACATCAAGGGAATCCATATTTCCTGCTTGTATTCCTTCTTCCTCAACATCAACCATGTCAGCCTCGTCCGAGTCATCTCCATGATGAGGTACGTGTCCTGAGTCCTGTCCATCATCATCATCTCCCTCATTTTCATCATCACCATCATCAGCTTCATCTTCTCCCTTATATTCAGCTCCAACTTTACTAGGGCCCTCATCTCCCACAGTACGATTTTCCTCCATCGTTATGTGCACCTTATGTAGCTCATCCTCTACTGCACTAACAAGTCTCTTGTAGCTTAAATCAATTACAGCCATCAACTTTTGATGTAAGCTCTGCAACTCCTGCATCACATTATTAAAAAAGGTCAAACACTTTATCTTGTTAATGCATATTGAAATTACCAAGCAAAGCACACACAGGGTATAAGTCAGCGACACTTCTCCTTCTTCTCTCCTCATCTCCAACCCTAACTTTCGAGCCCTTCTCCTTATATAATAGGCCTCTGTTGCTCTGCCTTTCCTTCTTTGTCATCTCCTTTATCCTCTCATCAGTCCAGAATTGAATAGCACTTATTGACCCATCTCTAATAGATTTAGATAATGGGAAGCGCTCAGCAAGATATAACTGCAACATCAAATTATTAACTTTATCATCACTCCATTCAAACATAGAACAAAAAAACAATGGTAATAATACATACCAATAAGAGGTAGATGCATCCTCCGACGTTGCAACTCCCTTCATCATTGTCTTCCCCTACGTTTCTATACACTTCAACATAATCTTCCATCTCTTTCCACAAGTTATTCACAATGTATGTGGCCCAATCAAATCGGTGAAATTCATTCATAGTACAACACATCACCCTTACTAGCTTGTCACTCACTGTTGTTTGTGAGGTAGGAGCTAAAAAACTCCCAAGTATGTACAGCATGAACAAGAACTCGAAATTCTCTTCATTCTCCCCAGATTTAATGTCTTTGAGTATCTTGGTAAAAGAGACTTTACCATATTCATTCTTCAACCTCTTATATGTTTCATCATCATCATCCACATCTGTTCTTACCTTTTTCCCTGTGTGGGGTACCTCCAACAACTCCGCAACATCTTGTGCATCAATTTCCTTGATCTTCCCCCTTATTGTAAATTGATGAGTAAGCGGATCATATGCTCGAAGAATGCGTACTATGAGGTCACGAGGGAGTCTCTCACATCCCATGTCAAGCAAACTTGCAAATCCCAAACTTTGTACCTTGGCTTTCAATCTGTCATTACTATTTATAAATTTCACCAATGACTTGTATTACCAGACTGAGCAACGGGTGCTAAAAGCAACTTTTTTCATCCGCTTCTTCTTCGTCCCTTGCTTCTTTGGTTTGTTCACTTTATCATTATACTTCTTCCTCTCCTCCGGTGGTAGCTCCCTCCATGCCTTTGCTCCCTCCCTAACTTCTTCTCTCCTATTCCTAAACTCTTTGCCAGCCTTAAATTCATGCAGAAACAGCATGTACCCATTCTTCACTTGTCCACTTCCCTCTCCTTCTCCTTCTACTTGTACTTGTAATTCCATTTTCCCTGCTGCAATGACACCACTTGTTAGTCATTCATAGTAATATATTTCTTTCACAACAATGTCGTCAATTCCATCAACAAATGTGGTCAATTACACTAACAAATATAGTAAATTTTATTAACATATCATCGAAATACCATTGTCCACTCAATTAACAAGTGTAGTCAAGTCCACTAACAAATGTAGTTAATTTCATTAACATATCACCTACAAAACCATTGCACAGTCAAATGAATTCGCATCACGACGATGTTGTTATTCCCCTAACAAATCTGGTCACTTTCATTGACTAATGTAGTAAATTCCACTAATAAATGTAGTAAATCTCATTAACATATCACCTACAAAACCATTGCACAGTCAAATGAATTTGCATCACGATGATGTTGTTATTCCCATAACAAATCAGGTCACTTTCATTGACTAATGTAGTAAATTTCACTAATAAATGTAGTAAATCTCATTAACATATCACCTACAAAACCATTGCACAGTCAAATGAATTCGCATCACGACGATGTTGTTATTCCCCTAACAAATCTGGTCACTTTCATTGAATAATGTAGTAAATTCCACTAATAAATGTAATAAATCTCATTAACATCACCTACAAAACCATTGCATAGTCAAATGAATTCGCATCACGGCGATGTTGTTATTCCCATAACAAATCTGGTCACTTTCATTGACTAATGTAGTAAATTCCACTAATAAATGTAGTAAATCTCATTAACATCACCTACAAAACCATTGCACAGTCAAATGAATTCGCATCACGGCGATGTTGTTATTCCCATAACAAATCAGGTCACTTTCATTGACTAATGTAATAAATTCCACTAATAAATATAGTAAATCTCATTAACATATCACCTACAAAACCATTGCACAGTCAAATGAATTCGCATCACGACGATGTTGTTATTCCCCTAACAAATCTGGTCACTCTCATTGACTAATGTAGTAAATTCCACTAATAAATGTAGTAAATCTCATTAACATCACCTACAAAACCATTGCACAGTCAAATGAATTTGTATCACGGCGATGTTGTTATTCCCATAACAAATCAGGTCACTTTCATTGACTAATGTAGTAAATTCCACTAATAAATATAGTAAATCTCATTAACATCACCTACAAAACCATTGCACAGTCAAATGAATTTGCATCACGACAATTTTGTTATTCCCGTAACAAATCTGGTTACTTTCATTGACTAATGTAGTAAATTTCAGTAATATATCACCTCAATATCATTGTCCACTCAATTGAATTTGCATCACAACATGTTGTCATTCCCATACCAAATCTATTATTTTCCATTGCCGAATGTAGTCAATTACTCTAATTAATGTTGTAAATTTCATTAACATATAAGTTAACAAATGTAATCATTGCCAACACAAATTTAGTCCTTCTCAGACCAATAGTTGTTATTTCAATACCAAACCCACTAGTACTATTTACTACTTACCTCATCAAATTTACTACTCAGCTAATAGAATTACTGCTTGCTAAATTACTACAACAGGATAACCTTTGCAAATTTTACCCACGCAAGGACAAACTTTTCACCCTAAACCATTCAATGAAAATGAAAGCAACTTTATCATTGCCGCGCATGCAGACCAAATTAGTGGAATTCTACTTCCTTAAAATCCCACCCTCTCCACATAGAAAGCTATACTCTTTTCAGAAAAGTCAAATAACACCGACAAAACTATCCTTTCCATTTTGTTCTTTTCCTTCAAATCAAAATAAACCAATCCCCACAACAAAAGCAATCCTCTGTTCCAATTAAAGGCCACCCAAAATGGATTAAGCACTATCAATCACAATCATTTCCAAATATGTACACAACCAAACACATCAGCAATAACATGGAAACAACTTTTTTCATCCTACAGCAACTTCTATGGGAACAACAAAGACGGAACCACAAAGAGCATCACTGCATAATTACATTTTAAGCTTCAGGGACCCATCGAAAATGTTCTATGAACAACAATATTCAAGTTCCCTACCTGTTTAGTTTCAAAAGCGACGGCAGCAATGTGATTTCGGCGACCGCTTTTTGGTTACTAGAGGACCTTCGATTTGGTTTCGCCGAGTGGGGGCACTTTCTGTTTCAGCAGGTTGCTCTCGTCGGGTCGGCGGGTTACTTTCGCCGACTGGGGGAGGTAGTTCCAGTTCCTGTTTCACTTAGTGGGGGGTTGCTTTCGCCAAGTGTGGGGGAGGGGGGTTGCTTTTGCTGAGTGGAAGCAATTCCTTTTTCGTCGACTGGGGTGTTGTTTTCGCCTAGGAGTCGGTTTCCGCCTTTTCTCCATCTCCTCAAGTTTCAAACATCTTAAGGGCATTTCGGTCTTTTGGCTGAAAATATGAATTCCAGATTGGTACCCAGTGCCCTATTTGTCATTTTGCTTATTCAGGTGCCTTATTTGTCTTTTTGAAATTCAAATGGTATTTTATTGTCATTTTCCCAAATAAAAAACTTATTTTAAAATATTTATATTTATTTTTTAAATTAATTTATCCAAATTATAAACTGATATATAATCTAGTAACACATAAATATGTTAAAAAGATCATGTAATAGGTGTTATAGTTAAGTAATTTTTTTAACTTTTTTAATATCTCCAAATTATTTAATTGGGTCATATATTAAAAATTAGAGACAACAAATATAAGATACTAATTAATTTTTCTTACAAATTAAGAAATATTAGTTAATTTGTTAAATATGTTTTTAATTGATAAAATTTAAATATTTTACGCTCATTAAAAATTGTGATTGAAAAGTTTTCCATCTCTCCCTTGCATTTAAAATTCTCTCTCATCCTTGTAACAAGCAGTAAAAATGAAAAATTACCATTAATTATTATGTTAATCTCTTATATTTTGGATCAAAATTTTTTAGAAAATTTATTATATTTTTTTTAGACCAGGAGGAGTATTTAACAGTCACATGGTGAGACCGTAATATTTAGGAAGGTCAACAATTTTTAAATTTTTCGAAAATATAAATTTAATATTTCTCGAGCTCCTTTGTCGGTTTGGTCCATGTTTTGTTAAGATCCATATTATTCTCGAGCCACTAAAAAGAGGAGTTAAGTGCGTATCTTGAAATTTTTTTTAGATACATCTAATACCTTAAAATACTTTATAGTTCATCTAACACTTTAAAATATTTTTCAGATGTATCAAGCATCTTAAAAATTATTTTATGATACTTGATACACATTTATTTAAAGAACTTTTTGAGGAGCTAATAAGAAAGTTAAATTCATGAAATAATACTTTAAAAGCATAATTACTTCTAAAAAAAGTTAATACTTTAAAAGTAAAATTACACCATAAAATATTTTAGAGTACTAGATGCACTTGAAAAAATACTTTATAGTACTGAATGCACTACAAAATACTTTAAGGTGGTAAATATTTAACAAAATATTTCAAGATGCTGGACACTTCTTAACCCTAAAAAATTGACAATTGTTTTCTTAGATATGGCCTTTATTTTCTTTAAATAATGGCAAAATAATACTGCCTCATGTCTTTAATATAAGAACTAGTTAAAATTTGAATTTAGTTCTAAATATAAGAATTGAATCTATTTTATCTCCAAAATTTATAATTTGTTCTCTAAAGTTTTATAATTGATTACACATATGAAGGGATTTTTATCTAATGATAGTCATGATTAAAAATAATATTTCTGAGAAATCAACTCATATTTATTTCAAATACCTAACTTAATTTTTTTTAATCTACTCAAATTAATCAAATAATTTTTATATTAAGTACCAGAAGCAGTGTTAAGTAAAAATAAAAGTTCAAAGTACAATGATAGAAGAAGAACAAAAACTAGAATTAAAAAAAAAGTCAAAAAAGGTGCTGAACCAATACTTCCTATGAAAACTGAACGGAAAAAAAATACAAATAGAAAATATCCTTTGAAACGTCGGAGCAAGAAGCTCCTCTGCGTTTATTAAGCTTCAAAGTTTTCCCAAAAAAGGCCAAATGCAGAAGCTAACATGACAGTCTGAATGGCTTGTCATGGAGTAATATAATAACTAAACAACTGACATGACCTTTCTTTTTCTTCTGTCAAAGAATAATATTCTAGTCATCACTGGATATTGATGATGGCTATTTGCTTTCGTCAGTGGGTCAGAAATGGACGTAGTTGAAAAAAGGCATTTGGATGTAGCCAAATTTACCTTGAAGCTCTTTAATTACTTGCTCTGGCGGTGTATCAATACCATCGCCTACTTTCCATTTCAGTTGATTCACTACCATATTAGCATGTTTCGCAATTACTTTTCATAGTCAAGAAAAATTGTTAGTTTTTTAATAAAAGGAAGCTATGATGCATCAACGTGCGTATTTTACTTTTAATGCAGTAGCTAGCAAGGAGGGGACTTTTGAAGTTATCACTCTCAAAACTTGCTTTACTAAGAGAGCTTGATTCACTTATTCTGTAGGCCTTATTGGTTGAAATAAAATATTCTTATTTAATAAGTATATCCGCCTTCTCTCACCTATGGATAATAAGGACTAGAGGGAGTATAATGATCAAATTAAACTTAAAACCCAAACTTCCTTCGCCTTTGGGTTTTCATAAAGGCATGCTAATTTTAATT